CGTCTTTTTACGATATGTCTCCGGTTCAGCCACATACGGTGTTTAGAGCGGTTGTTTTTTTTGTCTTTAGCAAAATTGAGTTTATTGTTGGTTCTGGCTTTTAGGCTTCTTCTTTTTTTTGTGAAGAAAATGACTGGTGATACCCTCTCCCTGTTCTTTAAGTCATAATTTACTGGTTTGACTATCTGCTTGTCTCTGGTTCAATGCTTAGTTGCTTGTCTTTGCCTCTGCTTCTCACGAGAAAAATTTTGTCTTCTGCCAGGAGGGTGAAGTTATTGTATCTTGAACGTTGCTCATTGCTGTCAACTGGAGGTCTAGAATCAGTAGTTCTTTCATGGAAAGAGCTTCAAAGGCTAATCGTAGTTTCTTGTAATAACATCAAAGATAGTGAAGTAACTCCTGAACTAGCTACCCTCTTCTCCACCCTGAAAGAGCTCAAATGGAGACCCGACTCCAGATCTATGCTAAAATCAAATCTTGGAGGCATCGGGGTGTGGAGAAAAGGCGGTAAATTTTTCACCCGTTTAAAGGGTTGAACATGAAACACACACTGCTGAGGCAGTTGAAAAGAGCACCAAAGAGCTTGCCACAGGAGTACAGTTCTTACTGAAGATAGCTCCTAGTTTTTTCACCTTCCTTGTTGTAAATGCAGCAACTCTAGTATGCCGTGAATTTTGAAGGCATACGGATTGGCTTCTGATAGTGTACGCTGATACTTGATAGAAATAAGTCTGTGAAGAAAATAAATCTTAGCTCTCCACAAATTAAGAGGGGATGTGTCTGCTGTTTTAGTTCATTTTTGTCTCAAATGACAAAATATGTCCGGGTTGCAGCTGCTTTGTCTTGATTTTTGGTTTCTGGCGATTGCAGTACAGGTTCAAGCTGAGAGAACACCATTGAGTTTTTGTTATGCGTTGCTCGTCCTTGGTAATTATTTACTCTTTTGCCCCGTCTTTTGTATACCCTGCCTTGAAGCGTTTTGGCTATTTACATTGTATCTTCCGGACCAAAGGGGTGGAAAAACAAAAAAGAAGAATACAAAAATCTTGTGGGGGAGGTGGAACTGACAGGAGAGGAAGTGGAGCGGAGCAGCGGCTGCAAGCTCACGCATAGGAATAGGAGGAGGGGAATGATGCAGCCTCGCACTGGCACAGGTCAGTCTCCCTAAACGGTAGTGTTGGTGATGACACGTTCACGGGTTAGCAAGTTGTGCTTTGTTTCCCATGGAAGCTCAAGTGTATTTGTTAAAAGGAAGAAGAAGAAAAACATGTGCTGGTCCATTATTAGTCCAGACTCCAGAATGCAATCTTCCTGCTCTTGAGGCTTGAAAGGTGAGAGGGGTGAGGTGGCCGACGACGCAAGCTGCGAGGGAGGAGTCGGCAAAACAAGCCTAATTGCGATTGCAAAATCACGAAAATGAAATCCTAATTTCAAAAAGGGTAAATTGATGAAAACCATCAATTGCTAAACCTTTTTCTTAAACAAATTAATTTATAAATTTATAAAATGTATTATCATAGTTCCTAAATTTATAAAATGTACCAATTTTCCAACAGATTATTTTATTAACGTCGTCAATGACCGATTAGCAAATTTGAAAACAAATTTATCAAACAAAGAATTTAAAACTTAATTTTCATGGAACTTACCCTTTTTCTTAACAAATCAGCTCCTTTTGTCTCGAGCTTTGTGCCAACAACATCACGCCGTTCCTAAATTAGACATTCGGCGTGGACAGAAAAACAATTGAAAAAAAAAACATTTGCATAAAACTAAAACAATTGAAAAAAAAACATTTGCATAAAACTCCGAAGCTGACAAAAGTCTGTCCGACTGAGCGTAATGCTTGTAATTACACGTCTCTCTCTCTCTATATATATATATATAAAAGGGATCTTTTAGTGGGTGCTGTCAGATACCCAACCCGTAACCATGGCTTCGTCGACTGGCTTCAGGGCGCCG